GCTTGCGATCGCCAACTCTGAATCGCACCTGCTTCTCCTCCCTCCCTCCCTCCCGTCCCGTCCCTTCCTCTTTCCCCCACTCTCGCCTCTCTCGCTCTCCTTTCCCCTTCTCTCCCCGTTCTCTTCTGCCATCTTACATGCTTGCTCGCAGGCGAATCATTTCTTCGGGGTCTGGTGATTTCCTTTGCTTCCTCGTCTCTGAGCTGCTTCTCTAGGTCCCGGGCTACACCGTCGGGTTCAGCACCTTCGGTTCCTCCTCCTCCAGCTGCTTGTCAAGGGACGTGACGTGTGCTCAGGTTTCTCCCGGGCAGACTTCACCTTCATCGACTTCGTCTTCTCAGCTCGTCCTGCCCTGCAGCACGTGAGGAGCCTGCGGGTCGGTCGGTCCCTTGGCTGACTAGAGGGTCTCAGACGACAGAGCTCGGGACAGGAGGAGGCCTCGTCTCGCTCTTCCTCCAAGTCTCCTCGGCGATCCGAGCAGGTTTCACGCAGACTTTTGACATCCGCGACTGCCGAGGGGAAGGAATCCTCCGAGCTTGGAACCACAAGCATGCTTCCTTCCACAACCTCGATGTCTTTGATGGTACGTTGAAATCCTTCTTCAACCACCTCATTCGCTCCCACACTCCTCACTCCTCACATCTCTCTCCTCTCTTCCTCTCTCCTCTCTCCCCTCTCCCCTCTCCCCTCTCCCCTCTCCTCCCTCCACCCTCCTCTCTCCTCTCTCCTCTCTCCTCTCTCCTCCCTCCTCTCTCCTCTCTCCTCTCTCCTCTCTCCTCTCTCCTCCCTTGTATTCCATGCATCCAAAACTCTTCCAGGTCCGGATGGGATGCATCCAGAGGTTGTCAAGAGCGTGAGCCGCGAGAACAACCTGGTGCTCTTCGATGGAGGAAGCAAGATGCTCGAAGTAGCGAGGTTCGGCAGCAAGCTAGCCAAGAGTTCCCTCTTCCTGATCCACGACTGGGAGGACGAGACGTTCGAAGCTGGTGGGTCATTAGGAAAGCATGTGCTTGTGGTCACTCGTATGCTGCCGCAGGTTTCTCAGGAGCACTTGAACGGATCGGGTTCGAAAGCGTCTATGAGGAGTTTGCGCTGCACATCGGTAACCAAATCTCTCCCCTCCTGTCCCTTCCCTTCCCTTCCCTTCCCTTCCCTTCCTTTCCCTTCCTCTCTCCTGCTCTCCTGCTCGCCTCGCTTCTCTCTGTCTTCACTCTTCCCCTGTCTTGACGCCTCACGTCCCTTGTCCCAGGAACCCACCTCCGCGCATATGCTCCTGCACTCAGCCGATGACATGAGAGCAGACGAGCTTGTCATCCTTCTACACCGCACGAACTACTTGACCATCGTTCCCTCTCATCCTCTCCTCCCCCCTCCTCTCCTCTCCTCTCCTCTCCTCTCCTCTCCTCTCCTCTCTTTCTCGTTAACTCGTAGACATTTCTTCATTACAATCGCTGTGATCTAAATTTCGTTTGCTCTGTGTCCCACTACAAACCCCAAGAAAAAAAAAAGTCAAATTTCGCAAAATGGCGGGAGGCAAGGGAGACGAGGAGGAGGACGAAGAGCTGGCGAAGCTGCTGGGGATGCAGATGAGAGAAGTCAAGGAGCTGAGAGAAGTGTTCTCCTTCTTCGATACCGACGGTCTTACTCCCCCTCCCCTCCCCCTCTCCGTGTCATCCTCTTCCTGCGTAACGATCGCGCAGGTTCGGGAGAGATCTCAATGCACGAACTTGACGAGGCGATGAGGAGCCTGGGCATTCAAGTCTCCCAGGCGCGTCCTTGACCCCGCGCGGGCTCGTCTTGGCTGATTCAGTTCGTTCGAGCAGGAGAAGCTGAAGGAGATGATGGGAGAGGTAGACGAAGATGGAGGAGGAGACATCTCCTTCGGCGAGTTTGTGCAGCTCGTGATGAAGCAGAAAGAGAACAAGAGCGCGCAGTCGATGCGAGAGGAGGCCCAAAACATCTTCAAGCGCTTTGACGTCGACGGATCAGGTCCTAGTTAGGCAGACGAGTGAGGGGTTGTTGATGATGTTGAGATCAGGGACGATCAGTACAAGTGAACTGAAGGACGCCCTTCTTATCATTGATCCGGTGACTTGTTGAACTCTAAGATCTCATGGTTATCAAGATGAATTGATGGAACTCTTGTCAGAACATGTCGGAGAAGAAAATCTCCTCGCTCCTCAAAGCCGCGGACGCTGATGGCTCGGGAGAAATCTCATTCGACGAATTTGCGCTTCTCCTTGGGCTAGGAGAGAGTGAGATCAAAGAGATGGAGGAAGGGATCAAGGGGGAGCAGGTGCCAGTCGAAGAGAGTGAAGCAGCAAGTAGAGCACGCAAAGATGCCTGATCCAGCTTGACGTCATGACAGGAAAGGAACGCGAGAGGCAAGCCCGGAAGGCGAGGATGAGGTAGAAGAAAGATCGTCACCCTGCTCGTCTGAAAAGCCGACAGGAAGAATCCATGGGAGTTCCTTCAGGAGAAACCCAAAGTGCGCGACAAAGGAGACAAAGCGAGAGAAGTTCCTCTCTACTATGATCCCACTTTCCGGTCGTTCGCCCCTGACATCTCGCTGCCTGACCTTTCCGCTGCACAGCACGGCAGAACAAGAGGCGTCAGAGTTGGAGGAGGAGAGGAAGAAAGCTGAAGCAGGTGTCTCTCCGAACTGCTGTGCTTGCTGTATGACACAGGAACAGCTTCCGAGGCCTGGAACTCAGAGAACGCTTCTGGTCTTTCGAGGTGCATCCGAACGCCTCAATTGATTGTAGTCAAACGTTGTGGCAGCTTCCTGGACAAGCTGGAAGACAACGAGGAGAAAGACTCCAGAGCTAGAGATGTGATGTTGACCCTTCTTCCTTGATGCTGACTCTCCAGCTACACTTTGACCTTTTTTCCTTGCTGCAGGAGGAAATGCGGCGGCAGGAGCAGGAGCGGCGAGAATGGCTGGAATCTCTCAACTGGGTAGTCCTGACGACAAGAGGCAATGAGGTGCTGAGATGCCTGTCAAGGCACACGAACAGAGTGCAGAGCGCAAGTGGAACAAGGAGAAAGAAGAGGTAGAGCAAGTTGATGTACCACATGCTGTCTTACTGTCACAAGGCAGAGAGTCAGAGCAGCCTCGCTGGAATGCCATGGAACAAAATGTTTCACGAGGTGATGATGTTTGTTGTACAGAGAGCGGCATGTTCAAACTTGCTGCAATGAGAGACAACCCTCACCCTTCTCATCTCATCTCACTTTCAAGATGAAACAAGTCTCTGACCTGTTCATCCTGCAGGCCGCGAGAGCTTCAGACTTGGCTGCGATGAAACAATACATCAAGGAGTTCCCAGACCGGCTGCAGGAGAAGGTGTCCAGGTCTACATCCTCCTCCTCTCACTGCTTCATGGCAGGATGCTGCAGGATACACCGCATTGCATGTTGCAGTGGAGAGCGGCCAGGTGGCGTCAAGGGAGAGGAGGCAAATGAAGGGCTCTGACAGCAGCATCAGATGACGTCTGTCATTCATCTTATCAGCTGCTTGAAGGCAGAGGTGACTGCGTTCCTCTACTCTTTCTTCTCCTCCTCCGCATCATCATCATCATCATCATCATCATCTCCTCCTCCGCATCATCTTCTTCTTCTTCTTCTTCTTCTTCTTCTTCTTCTTCTTCTTCTTCTTCTTCTTCTTCTTCTTCTCCTTCTTCATCGAGCTTACTCATCTTCCGTTCCCAGGGACTTGGACTGAACGAGCTCAACAAGCAGAAGCAGACCGTGCGCGCATGATCTCAAGGATTTCTTTTCTGCCTGACCACGAGCGCAGGCGCTTCACCTTGCAGTCTTCAGCAGAAACGTCCTCCTCATCATCCACCTTCCCCTGCCTGACTCTCCCGCAGGAAGAGATGACGCGTGTCCTGCTCGCTAGCAACGCAGAACCCAACACCTTTGACGTCTGGGGAGATGCTCCTCTGCACAGAGCGGCGTGCCATGGGTATTCCAACCCTCTTTCATCCTCCGCCATTACAACATGCTTTCTCCTCTTTCGACCATCACAATATCCTTCTCATTTCTTCCTCCTCCTCCTCCTCCTCCTCCTCCTCCTCCTCCTCTTCCTCTTCTTCCTCTTCCTCTTCCTCCTCCTCTTCTTCTTCCTCTTCCTCTTCGCTCTTCTTCGTCATCCTCTTCCTCCACCCCTCTTCCCTTCCTCGTTCTTTCGCGTCTTCAATCCCTCGAGCTGATCGGGTTGTAGCACGACTGAGATCTGTAAACTCCTTATCAACAATGGAGCCAAAGTGAACGCCCGAGCGAGAGGTGATGCGAGCCTCGACCTCTCTCACTACTCCTTCCTTCGTCTTCCTTTCCACAATCCTCCTCCTCCCCCTCCACCATCACCTCCTCCCCTTCTCGTCTCCTCCTCCTCCTCCTCCTCCTCCTCCGCCGCCGCTGCCTCCTCCTCCTCCTCCTCCTCCTCCTCCTCCTCCTCATGAGTTACTGCAGGCAGCGGTGAAACGGCTCTGCACTGGGCGGCAAAGCGAGGAAACGTGGAGCTCGCCAGCCTCCTGATCGGTCAGACCCGCCCGGTGCTGCGCCGAACTGACGTGAGAGGTGCAGGTGCCAAGGCTGACGTGACGGTGAAGAGAGCAAGAGGAGGAGTCAAGGTGACGAGCTGGCAGGTGGAGGACGATGCCGAGTGCGTGCCAGCTGTGTGGTGCAGGGATGATGGCGACCTGTTGATGGTGAGGAGAGAGGAGGGAGCTCGAGCTGAGTGCGAGACAGATGCTTGCTCCAGAGGAGGCGACAGGAAAGGAGAAGAAGGAGACAGCAGCGGCGAGGTTCAAAGCAGGTATGACTGTCGTCTCCCACCACAAGCGCTATCCCTTTCTCCTCCTCATTCATCGTGACCGCAGACATGTCGCGCTTGAAAGACAGACCCAAGGGCAAAGTGAGTTTCACGTGCTGCTGTCTCATGCTGACTTTGTGGTCTGTATCATCACTACCATTCCCATCTACCCGTCGTCTGTTCTTCGTGATCTCCTGCGACGCTGTCAGGACGATCCTTCAGGTGGTCTCAGTTGCTCCATCATCGTCTTCTCACGCTCCTCCAGCTCAACCCGCCCCCAACAAGAACGTCCGCAAGTCCAAGGGGAAAGGAGCACAGGAGCCGTCAGACAGACGGTGAAAGAGGAAGTCCTCAGGTCGTTATCTTCAGTTCTGTAATGTCTGTTCTGTACAAGTACACACGCATGCAAGTAGACTAGCGCACGTCAACTCCAAAAACTTCCACATGGCTGAGGTCTGAGATGCTGGACCATCACTCTCTCCTCAACAACTGGAGGATGAAGATGAAGAGGTTGATGATGTCGAGGTACCTGCCAGACCTGTCACCCTTCCCCCACTTGAGCAACACACAACTTACAGGTCAATGGCTGCGATGATGTAATCATCCGGGCCGAGTCGGTTCGTGATCATCCTGGACAAAGTCATGACAAGTCAGTAGCTGCCGGGTACAGCAACACAGCCACGTACCATGTGTCGAACACAATGTAAAGAGAGAAGATCACAGATCCCGCTAGCGCGTACAGGTAGCGCACGTTGGCTCCTCCTCCAAAGAGCATCATGACGAATCCCCAGATCACAAGGATCCATGTTGCTGCAAACAAGCCTGCGACAAGAGGCGATTAAAAGAAGTGGGTCGTGCTTAGGCTGTCAGCTACCAGCTCCCAGGAAGCTGAAGTCCCACTTGGACTGCAGCGTGAAGGCTGTGAGGGCGAAGAAGAGCGACGCGGTGATGCCAACTGCCAAGTCGTGAGTGCCTGGCCCAGGAGACGCTCTCAACGGGTCTTACGCGCCATCAGGACAGAGTTTGAGCCCTCATAGAAACGAGGGGTGTTCATCGCGCATTTCAGAGAGCCGCCGTACAGCGACATTGAACCTCCCTTTGTTGCCATGCTGAGAGGGACCACATTGCCCGACTGAAGCACCAATGGGTCGCAGATGGTGGCCGAGCAAGCTGTCGCCACAGTCATCGCCATCATCACGGTCCTAAATGAGCTGGTCAGATCTGAACATTTCTTGGGAAGTAATCCCTTACCAGAACGAGAGCAGGATCATGTTAGTGGGGTAGCTATCCTTCTTGAACATGAGCCAAAAGAGAACACCAATGGACACGATGAAGACCACAATCTGGAACCCTTGCGACCCTGCCAGGAAGGAGCCAAACGCAAGAACAGTATAGTCTACGCTCTTTGTTTTCACCACTTCCCCAGGAATTCTCATCGCCATGGCGCAAATCACCGCCGTTGCAATCAGCTGAATAGTGAGGATGCCGTAGACTTTCCTAAGAAAGCCAAGGCGGTAGATTTTAGAGCAGTCATTCACTGTCGTCCCACCGCCAACGCCCATGCCATACTCATCCTCTGACTTGAAAGCCCCAAGGAAGTTCTGTTTGTCTTCGGATCTATATCTTCTAATTTCAAACATAATTCAAAAGCAAACAATTAGAATATGTTATACCTGCCGTACATCCTGACGTCCTGAAAAGATGTTGATAATTTCTGTGAGTGCACAGGTCAACCAAGAATTTCACATGAATTGAGAAGCATGCATTCCTTTATCTTCCCTCCTTCATTCCCGAAATAAAATAAAAATCCCTCTGATACTTCCTTCCTTCCTTCGACCAAATCCTTGCAGGCCTTCTCTGCTCCCATCTTGGCTTTCCCCTCTACATCCCTCCTCTTCTGACCATCTACCTGACTGAAACTTTCTTTCCTCCACTGTCATCTTTCCCTCCCTTTTGTAATCTCCTCCTCTCTCTACTGTTAGCTTATCTATCCTTCCTTCTTCCCCTTCCCCCCCTCCCTTCCCCTCCTTCCTCCGCCTTGTCACTCCTTCCCATCCCTCAGCAGAACCCATGTTTGTTCATGTTTGTCTTCTCAAGGTTTTACACTACCCCTCCAGCTGTGGTACCCCACCCATACATTTGACAAATTTACAAGCCAAATTTTGTCGAAAAGATATGGTAGGGGTAATCACCCTACCCTTTCAGAGTGGAACTTCTTCCACAAATTCGTCGACGGGTCCATCCTGCGCCTTGGGGTGGTTGACTACCCTATACAAAATACCCCTACCCCCCAAATTTGTATAATTGTCCTGAAGGGGGTACATAGTCTCATGAAAATAACCCTGCCTTTGCCACAACACGTTGTGCCACTTGTACCCCTACCCCCAACAATGGAACCACCACCCTATCTATTTGCTCCAGCTGCGACGAGATCAATCTATGACCCAATAGCTAATTTGATGGATCTCGATTAAATTACCAAAATTTACTGTTTGATTTGAAATAAATAGACAATGTTCGAAATCTGGGAACAATCAATGAGGGCAATTTGACTACCCCTTTCGTTCTATGAAATTCCAGAGGGAATAGGGGGTACTGTTTGATGGTGCAAGAGGGTGGATGCGGGGGATGGATAAAATGTTTTTTAATAATTAAAAATCCAAATTTAATTCAGGGGTGGTAATTATAGTCGTCATGAGCGGAATTGAAGTTTTAGTTTTAAAAATAAGATAGCCGAGGGCTACCATGGATGTTTAAAACAAAGTTATATTCCATGGCTTTTTGTACAAGGATCATAAATTACAAAACATTTTATAAAGGTCAAAACTCCATCGGTACTAATATATCCCACCCCACCGAAGTCCGTGGCCACCCCATCACATCAATGAAAAACTCTCTTCGTATCACCCCTGCTAAAGTACCCCCACCCATCCAAATACTCCCATTGTTTTTTAATTTCCTCTCGGTGTTCCTGCACGTCATGCATGCACTAGCCGCCTCCTAGACTCGCCCCGCCCCCGCCCACCTGGTCCCTCCCCATCCCCTCCTCGCCCATGCCTCCTCCTCTCCTCTATGCAACACCCCCTCCCCGTCCGCATCATCATGATCACCAGCAGCAGCACCACCAGCAGCATTGCCTTCATCTACACCCCTTTCTTTATGCATGCAATCCCCCTACTCGCCTCATCTTCATCTTCATGGTATCATGGTGTAAGATCTACCGGGCAGCTCCATCATGTACATGTTATAGATGATGACCATCAACAACGCTAAAGACACCTTAATGTGGAGCTTGCGCGCTCGCTGTTGCTCTCCTCTGCTCCTGCACGCGCTACTTCGTTTCTTGCTCTTCATTTCGTCTACGTGCTCGCGTTTCTTCAAGCTGCATGCTCATGGCATTCTCTTCGCGCGATGGCTCCCCTGCATTCCCTCACCTCATTCGCTCATGTTTTACATTTCTGGGGAGCTTCCTTCACCCAGATGAGGTCCTTGTACAAATATTGTCATTCTATTCCGGTTTTGATCACACTCCCCGTTAACTCCTGTTCACTCGTTTCTCCTTCTTTTCCTGGGCATTTGCATTGCAGCACAAGTACATTCTTCCTCTCTCCATGGATGAAACGAGCGTCACGCGCGTGCCCCCTGTTGTGCAAGGAGCGTGAGACTGATATTTTCCCTGCCAGGAGTCAACAACCTTGATCTCCACGACGAAACGGGAGCAGGACTTGTGCGGATTGTCCTCGGCCTTTGGGCCTTGTCGGCTGCTTCTTGCTTCGGGGGAGAGCTCTCTCCGCCTGGCCCGCAGCAGTACGACGATACCTTGACCCTTCGAAGGATCCATCGGAAGCTTTCATTCAAGATGTCGGCTGCTCTGATGGAAAGGAGAGGGTTGATGGGTATCGGTACTGTGCCTCTTGCGAGGGCTGCTCCTTCTGAACACTGTGATGTAGGTGGAGGACCTCAGGAGATCTCCAGAAATCTTGTCGATACTCCGATCGTGACGATTAGGAAAGAGGATGGGAGGAAATTCATTAACCAGTACGAAACTCTGAAAGAGCTTGGGAAGGGATCTTTTGGCAAGGTGAAGCTTATCAAACACACGGAGACGGGAGAGCTCTTCGCCCTCAAGGTCTTCAACAAGAACGTACTGAGAAAGAAAAGGATGGGCACTCGAAACATGCTCCAGGACGTAGAGCACGAGATCAGGATCATGAAGCAGATGGACCACCCGAGCTGTATCAAACTGTATGAAGTCTTGGACAGTCCGGACTACCACAAACTGTTCCTGCGACTTGAGTACTGTGAGGGGGGGCATCCTATCTGCACTGAGAACCTTCCGGTCTGTTACTTCTTGTGACTTGGTTGTGATCGGACGCTGATGTTCCAACAGACGGACCCTCTTCCCGAAGCGGCTGCCCGCAAGTACTTTCGAGGATTGCTAGATGGTACTGGAAAGATGCTCTTTGTTGTTAGGGAGGTTGATGATGATTGGGTGAGAGGGATTATGTGTACTTGGACTGATTGTCGGCATCAGGTTTGGATTACATACATTCGAGCAATATCATTCATCGAGACATCAAGCCAGAAAATCTTCTTTTAACCAAGGATGGAATGGTCAGCAAGGCGTCTGAGCTTCTGTGACGACTGACTCCTTTGTGGCAGATCAAGTTAGCTGACTTTGGAACGGGTCAAGTACTTGAAGACGGCAATGACTTGATCAACAAGTCGGCTGGTGACCCTCCACACCTTTTTCACTCCTCATTACTTGTTTTTCATCTCCTCTTTCCTTGCTTTTCACCTCCTCTCCAGCCTAGAGCCCAACATTCCTCTCCCTCCCTCTCATCCTGCTCCACCTGACGAGACTACAATAGGAACCCCCGCCTTCACGGCTCCCGAGGCCTGTGTTGAGGGAGACTTCAGCGGGAAGGGAGCCGACATCTGGGCGGCAGGGGTGAGAAGGAGGAGGAGGAGGAGGAGGAGGAGGAGGAGGAGGAGGAGGATGGTTCAAGAGAGGATGTGACCTAGTGAGGCAGGTGACTCTCTACCTGTTTGTTCACGGCAAGTGCCCGTTCATCTCCAACAATCTGGTCCAAATTTTTCAGGTCAGGAGGAAAGGGAAAGGAGGTAGAGCAGGGCGAGAGGGGGGCAAGAGGGAAGGGGAAAGGGAGGGAGGGGATGGAGTCGTACGATGAGAGGAGGGGGGCGCGGGTTGGGGAGGAGGCCTTCTTGCTTATGTGGACTGACCGTTGACCTCGGCTGGTCGCGTCTCTATCAGATGATCCGTGAGGATCCTATCGAGTTTTCTCCCACCTTGTCGCACAACTGTCGTGACCTCCTAGAGAAAATCCTCGAGAAGGTGTCTACTCCTCCCTTGTCATCTCCTCGTCTCCTCTCTGCTGTCTTCTCTTGGATGTCTCTTACTGGACCCCAGGACCCCAAGAAGCGGATTCAGATCCCCGACATCAAGAACCACGAGTGGCTGAAGGAGGATTGAGAATCGTGAGAAGAGCTTCTCCTCCTCTTCCTCCTCCTTGCCAAGTTGTATGGTTGCCCGTCGATTTTCATTAGCTCCAAGTAGAAGAGGGCAGCAGCTGCAGTTTTTGAAGCAAAAAAAATGTGGAAGAGAAGGAGAGACTTCAGGAAAGCGTGGAGGTTGCCCAGCCACGAGAAAGGCAGAGGAAGAGGAGGAGGAGGAGGAGGAGGAGGTCAGTCGCGGATCAGAACCACGTCTTTCAACCGCGCTAGGAGGAACAGCACGCACTGCCTGTAGGTCGCTCTGATCTTTGACATGTCGCTTTCTGGAGCCCCTCCTTCCTCCTCCTCTTCCTCCTCTCCAAGAGCGTAAGGATCTTCGATGTAGATGGTATTGTCTTCCTCAGGCACTAGCGATGCCTCAAGCCCTGCGTCCGCCTATCGTCAGCCTCCTCCTCCTCCTCCTCCTCCTCCTCCTCCTCCTCCTCCTCCTGCTGCTGCTGCTGCTGCTGCTGCTGCTACTACGAGGAGGAGGTGGTGGCGGTGGTGGTGGTGGTGCTCCTCCTCCTCCTCATCATCCCTCTACCACCGCCTCCGCCGAGGAGAAGACGAAAAAAGGTAAAAAAGGCTGCTGCTGCTGCTGCTCCTCCTC